GTAGTATGAATATAAACAGTAGTGTGAATGTAAACAGTAGTATGAATGTAAACAGTAGTATGAATATAAACAGTAGTGTGAATGTAAACAGTAGTATGAATATAAACAGTAGTGTGAATATAAACAGTAGTGTGAATATAAACAGTATTATGAACAGTAGTATGAATATAAACAGTACTATGAATATAAACAGTAGTGTGAATATAAACAGTAGTGTGGATATAAACAGTAGTGTAATATGAACAGTTGTATGAATTTAAATAGTAGTGTGAATATAAACAGTAGTGTGAATATAAACAGTAGTTTGAATATAAACAGTAGTGTGAATATAAACAGTAGTATGAACAGTAGAATGAATATGAATAGTAGTATGAATATAAACAGTACACTGAACATTAATGTAATATAAACGGTAATATGAATATGTCAGTAGTATGAACAATAGTATGAATATCAACAGTAGTATGAATATAAACAGTAGTATGAACATTAGTGTGAATATAAAAAGTAGTGTGAATATAAACAGTAGTATTAATATAGACAGTAGTATGAATATAAACAGTAGTGTGAATATAAACAGTAGTATGAACAGTAATATGAATATAAACAGTAGTATGAACATTCATCCATCCATCCATTTTCTTCCACTTACCCGGGGTTGGGTCGCGGGGGTAGCAGCTTAAGTAGGGAGGCCCAGACTTCCCTCTCCCCAGCCACTTAGGCCAGCTGCTCCGGGGGAATCCCGAGGCGTTCCCAGGCCAGCCGAGAAACATAGTCCCTCCAGTGTGTCCTGGGTCTTCTCTGGGCCTCCTCCTGGTGGGACTTGGCGGAACACTTCACCAGGGAGGCGTCCAGAAGTCATCCTAACCAGATGCCCAAGCCACCTCAACTGGCTCCTCTCGACGTGGAGAAGCAGAGGCTCTACTCTGAGTCCCTCCCAGGTGACTGAGCTTCTCACCCTATCTCTAAGAGAGAGTCCAGACACCCTGCGGAGAAAACTCATTTCGGCCGCTTATATCCAAGATCTCGTTCTTTCGGTCACAACCCAAAGCTTATGACCATAGATGAGGGTAGGAACGCAGATCGATCGGTAAATTGAGAGCTTCGCCTTTTGACTCAGCTCTCTCTTCACCACGACTGACCTGTACAGCGCCCGCTTCACTGCAGACGCTGCACCTATCCGCCTATCGATCTCACGCTCCATTTTTCCCTCATTCGTGAACAAGACCCTAAGATACTTGAACTCCTCCACTTAGGGCAAGGCCCCCTCCCTGACCTGGAGAGGGCACTCTACCCTTTTCCAGGTCAAGACCATGGCCTCGGATTTGGAGGAACTGATCTTCATCCCGGATGTGTCGCAATCGGTTGCAAACCGCTCCAGCGAAAGCTGTAGATCACGATCTGATGAAGCCAACAGGACTAAATCATCTGCAAAAAGCAGAAACGCAATCCTAAGGCCACCAAAACGGATCCCCTCAACACCTTGGCTGCACCTAGAAATTCTGTCCATAAAAGTTATGAACAGAATCTGTGACAAAGGGCAACCTTGGCATAGTCCAACTCTCACCGGGAACGAGCCCGACTTACTGCCGGCGATGCGGACCAGGCTCTGACACCGGTCATACAGGGGCCTAACAGCCTCTATCAAAGGGCCCGGTACCCCATACTCCCAGAGTACCCCCCACAGGGTTCACCGAGGGACGCTGTCGAACGCCTTCTCCAAGTCCACAAAGCACATGTAGAATGGTTGGGCAAACACCCACGCACCCTCCTGGACCCTGCTGAAAGTGTAGAGCTAGTCCAGTGTTCCACGACCAGGACGAAAACCGCACTGCTCCTCCTGAATCCGAGGTTTGACTATCCGACAGACCCTCTTCTCCAGAACCCCCGAATAGACCTTACCAGGGAGGCTTAAGAGCGTGATCCACCTGTAGTTAGAACACACTCTACGGTCCCCCTTTTTGAATAGGTGGACCACCACCCCGGTCTGCCAATCCAGGGGAACTTCCCCCGATGTCCACGCAATATTGCAGAGTCGCGTAAGCCAACACAACCCTACAACATCCAGAGCCAGAGCTTTTTAACCACCTCGGTGACCTCAGCACCAGAGATTGGAGGGTCCGACCCAGAGTCCCCAGGCTCCGCTTTCTCAGTGAAAGACGTGCCGGTGAGATTAAGGAGGTCTTCAAAGTATTCCGCTCACCGACCCACGACATCCCGAGTTGAGGTCAGCAGCACACCACCCCTACTATAAACTGTGTTGGTGGTGAACAACTTTTCCCTCCTGAGATGCCAGATGGTGGACCAGAATCGCCTCGAAGCTGTGCGGAAGTCATTCTCCATGGCCTCTCCGAACTCCTCCCATGCCTGAGTTTTTGCCTCAGCGACCACCTGAGTCGCATGTCGCTTGGACTGCCGGTACCCATCAGCTGCTTCCAGGGTCCCACAGGCCAAAAAGGCCCGATAGGACTCCTTCTTCAGCCTGACAGCATTCCTCACTGCCGGTGTCCACCACCGTGTTCGAGG